GCCGCTTTGCACGTTGGAGCCCACGCGGCCGCCAGCCAGGTTGTCGCGTTCCTCCTCACGCAGCCATGCTTTCTCCCCAAAACGCCCCAAACACTACCCAACAGAGGTGTCTGCCAGAAACTGTCTGAACACCTCGTTTATTTTAGGCAGGAAAGAGTCCCAGCACCTGGAAGCCACCGGCGTGGTTTTTTTTCTATCAGCGCGTAGCTCCGGGCGCGGCAGCAGCAGGCTGGAGGGGCACGTCGCAGCAATTCCCGCTGAGTAACATCCAGAACTTCACAGAATTGAACCAAAACCAGGAAAACTATATAAAAGCGTTCGTTTGCTTAGTGCCAGATTTCATACAGCAAGGACTGCGGGTTTGGGGGTTTTTCTTTTTGGTAAAGCCACCCATATTCACATCAATTTACAGAGTACCAACAATGAAACTTAAAAAAAAATATTAAAAAAATGATGAGTGGTGACTACTGTATTGGCACTGGCATATCTGCACAATGGGATTGTCATACACCTGTCATCTCAGGATTAGCAAATTTGTTTTACCGGCCTGCACCATCACCACCTAGATACCTCCGGATTATTTTGAACAGCTTAACAACATGGCCCAGAAATTGAAGTCTTAGAAAAACAACTTTCCCTTTATTTAAATTGCACCTTTTTCACAAATAGCTACATGGCAGAAGTTTCTTTCTTCTGCAAAATGCTACATCAGAAAAATGTGGGTTTGAACACACACAGGAAAGAAAAGGTCTTGAGCTTCAGGAATCATCGTGAGTTGACCCCAGAGTACCAACGCAATTTTTACAAATCACTGTACACCCATAAAGCCTAAGTGTTGCCTCGATTTTATTTAGCATTCAGTCATTTAAAAACCACAAGCATTTTACCAGATGATAAAGGTGCTCTAATCACTAATGGGTACTAAAATATCAAAACTGCAAGGGAAGTATTTTGAAGATCTCTGGGAAGAGCAACAAATACTCTGCGAAGCTATCAACAGAAAACGCACAGGCAGTGGGGAGAGATTGGTTTCTTTCACCCTGGCCTTTCTAGAACTATTCAGGACTGTTTTGGGAAGAATTCCCCAATTCTGTGATGTATTTATGTTAGAAATGCACAATGGAAATCAAAATATTTCTAAGGATACCAGTGGCTAGTACCCTAACGCTAATTATGGCATCCACATCACCCGAGTTTCCACCTACGTGACGATCCGGTGAAGTATCACACCCACACGGCACTGCATGAATCCCATTTCTCGCCATCACTCCTGAGGTACGGCACTCCCAAAAGCTTCCCGCAAGAAAAAAGACAAGCCAACCCCCTTCCCTTTGATTTAATAACAGGGTCATTATACACGATTGTCTAGATATGCCCTTTTTATTCCAGTGTTTCCATACTTTCTACAGCCCTATGTACACAGTTAAATACGTCATTCATTTACAAACCGCGTTAAAACAACTGTTTCACCTTGCCAAACGAAAATCTCGCAGCGCTCCAAGATTACAATATATATTACAACAGCATCAGAAACTTCCTTTACCTGAATGTGGGCAGTATTGCTTAAGGACTTGGATTCAGGTGCTTGCCAAAACCACCTCTCGTAACCGATCCACTTCACCATTTTAATGACACGTTCTACCGTGGAAAATTGCCCCTGTGACCACAGACCTGAACAGCAAGAGCAGGAACGCTCTCGGGCAGTCTCCAGGGAAGAGATTCACTCTCGGGGCCCGAAACGGATGATTTCCTCGTTTCGGGTCAGTCCCTTTTTGCTCTGGAAGTACAGTAGTTTTGTTTCAGAGACAAAGCGAGGCCACGGGCCCAGAACGGAATTTGGGACGAGGTATTTTCAACAGAGAGCCCTCACCTGCTACCGTACCTCTTTGACAGAAAAAGCTGGGCTGAAGACCTGCCGCAGGAAACGTGCAGCGCAAGCTTTCTCTGGAAACAGCAGCAAAAAAGACCCGGTTACGTTCTTTAAAAGGAAACCATCAAAAATATATTTAATAAAGCCTCTGATCTGTGAATAAAGTATGCAGAACTTTAGTCCAAGTAACAGGTTGAGCTCTCTGCCGATGGTACAGCGGGGAGCGCACCAGGAGATGGACGGGTGAACCCACAGTCCTGGGGTCCCCGCTGCTACTTTTTTTCTGGTATTTCACCCCCCTATCAAGTAGGGAAGAATCTTCTCCATTTTCACAATGGGAAACCGAGGCACGAACAACACAACTAAGCGTTTGCAGGAGTGTAACAGTTTACAGCTAGCTCCCTTGGAAAGCAGTTCGAGAACTTCAGCCTCTCTTAAAAATCTCAGCCTAAATATCTCATCCTCAAATCAGTCTTTTGCAGAAACAGAACCTAATCCAAATCCCAAGTCCACACAATCCTTTTGACATGTCTGTAAAAGCACTTAAATATTGAGAAGCGAGCCTCAGAAATGCACATTTTGCACTTTCCCATATTAGAAAGAAGTAATTATTCATAAGTTAATACTGGAACAGGCAAAAGAAATTTCACCTGAAAGAACGCTTTTCTTTCTTCTTTACCTAGTTCTTGTCAGCCTGGGTCAGGGAATAATTTATTTAGCTTTTCTAAACTAAAAGCCCAAGCTCTAAGCCAGCGTGAACAGATTCAAGTCCAGTCAAGTCAAGGAAGCTCTGCTCACAAACATTAGCAGCATATTGAACTCATCTCTGAAGTTTCAGAAGGACCATTTCTTCTTTTGGACTGTCGGCTGGCAGGCAGTCTGCGCAGCTACCTCCACAGTCAGCCAAAAGAATAAGAGGAAGTTGACTTTGCACTTAAAAATAAATCCATTAGCCAGAAAGGAGCCAAATCATCACCTCCCACACGGAAATGGTCTTTGTAAAGCAATAAGTAGGTGGAGGGAGTGTTCTGTACCACGCCCTGAATTATGTCACCGGTGTCTAATACCTCTCTAATAAAAACATAATAGTTACGCTATCAAAAGTCTCACTGTACAACAGCTTTTCTGTTAAGAAGGCCCCTAAAATCTTCTTTTGCTGAAGCGACAACAATCCCAATCTGATCCAGCGAAACCCAAGCTCAGCCGGTTTCATTCCTCTCACGCACAAATGCAGCGCCTGACGCACAACAATCAGCTTGTCTAGATTTAAGGACGTTCGTTTATACTAAACTGCATTGGTTGCGCTTAACCATAAATTATCTATTTACTTCTGATTCAGGTAATTTTGTCTTAACAATTTACTAATCGAGCAGGGGGAGTTACAGGAACAGAGCAGGATCCAAAATTTAACTTCTTTCAGTGGGAAGTGGAAGTCAGGCAAAATGCACACAGCAACTCCACCAGCAGTAATTAAGAAACTTAAAAAAAGCAATCAGGGGCTAAAAAGATCGACTTAAGAAACCGATGATTATTCAAATGAATTCATTCACAATATATGAAACACGTAAGAGAGCATAATTTATGTATAAAATTCAGAAGAAAACACCTTTAAACCTTTCAATTTCTAAAGCAATGAAAGGGTTTTGTAAGGAAGGTTGTGTAGCAAGTAAAAAAAAAAAAATCATATTCCAAACACTTTATTTGTGAAGGTGTTTCCTGCATTGCCAAGGAAGAGCAACGTCTGTTACAGGACAACATTATTCAGAAAACAATTATGATCTTAAGCTCTGTTTGTTACTTACAGTGTCGGGGACAACAGTGATTTTAGAAAATTCTCTTTCTCTGCGCCTGAAGTGAGTTTCTGGAGGAGATTAATCTCTCTACTGCCTACTCTTTCAGAAACACTTTGGGTTTGTCATCAAAACCCGAAGGCATAGGCACAAAAGTAACTAATACCCACGTGAAGTTCGGTAGTTGCCCGAGATGAATTCAGGTCTAGCTATCTGCAGCAGCTACATGCAAGTCAACGCTCCTCACACAGACGAATCCCAATAATCGGCAGTAGCGCCTCAGTTTCACTTCCTTCTGAAAGTTTCATTAAAAGAAATTATCATTAAAACATACCAGAGGACAAATTAAAGGTGATGTTACCAGCGTGGAAACAAAATACTGGCCAGAATGCAGCTGCCAGAAGAACAATCAGTTGACAGACTCTGAAAAAGGAGCAGCGAGCGCAGATACTGAGCTCTGGAGTTTGGAACGTGCATTTCGCCGCAATCTCTGGACAAGAGCTACAACCGTGCCGGGAGTTCCAGCGCCAGATCTGGCTGTTTCACGTTTACCGGTCTGCTCAGCAGAAGTCGAAGGTCCGTACCGCTTGCACTACACATGCATCCTCCCTTCTGCCAAAACTGGACAATAAACTGGCTTTACATTCACGGATGTACTAGAAGTTTCTGATAATGTTGGGGACACTTTGACATCACAGTCTATACCTGTTTGCCAGGATTCTAAATATCAAAACGATTTAAGTTGTAGCTGGTTGGATAGTTTTGCCGACTGTACTGGAAGTGGTCTGTTAAGATATTGGTTCGACCGTACTGATAGTCGCCGTGCGGTGCAAAGGCCGCAAGTCCGTTCTGAGACTTTTCAGGAGTGTTTCGATGCCGCTCCAAATTGACAAGGTCTCCAGTTGTAACTGGAAGTAGCTGCTTCTTTGCTTCTTGGTTTGCATCGTATTTTGTCTAGAGAAGAAGGAGAGAACGTTTTTCTTAGACATCATGTAACATATATATCTGGGAAAAAGTTTAGTTTTACAATTACGCTACTATCTACGCTTGTTAGAGTCTTCAATTATGAGCACCTTTAATAAAAATCTCATTCCTCACGTACCACACCAGTAAGATGCTCTGTTGCTCAAGAGATCCGAGTTACTTCCCAATCTTCATTTTTTGAAGAAAATATTAAGATCAAAATTTGTTAAGGGGCTCAACAGCTGGCCTGACCCAAGCACCCGAGTACTTCGCACGCATCTACTCTGCAGTGAGGTTTAATGTCACGTTTTCTACATCTTTGTTCTGCTCTGTTCACTTGTTGTACAAATAAACAATTCAAAGCTATCGGACTGGTTTAAGTGAGTTTCCTGAGAAAACAAGCAAACAAACAAAGCCCTTACTTTGTTATAGAGAAAGACCCCCAAGATAGCCGTCATCATTCCAAGGACATTGGTGCTGGTAACCGGATTGCGGAGCATGATAAGGGACACTGTGATAACCATGATTCTTTTTGTGGCGTTCGCGACAGAGTAACTTAGGGGGCTGATCAGGTTAAGAATACTGAAGGCAATGACATTCTGGGCAAAATTACAGAATCCACTGATTATAAGCAGCATCAAAGTCCAGGACCAATGAGACATCGTGCTCTGTTATAAAGACAAACATTACAAAAAAAATAAAAATGTCAGGTTTCAGATAAGAGACAAAGGAACACAAATACAGCCTGAGTCACTCGCTAGTGACAGGAAGACCATGCGCAAATTAACTCTAAAGAGGCGGCCCAGTGAGTCGCACCGGGCAACCACCAACCCCGAGAGAACATCTCTGCACGCTCGTAACAACATTCCGGGTCCACCTGTTCCTGTCTCCAGCTACAAATGCCCAGGATTTGCGCTGTCACATAAGCTCCCTCTCCTAGACCCAAACGTATTCTTACAGGAAATGCTATGCTTGGGGTACTTTATGTTGTTTTGTGAAACAGTTTGCAGGTATTTCCCAACAGTTCCTTCCATGCTCATGAGGAACTACAATGAAACACTTAAAGTGCACTTTTTTGGTACGAGTGGAAGTGTTTATTTATTGTTTGGGTTTTTTTTTTTAATATATTTTCTTTCCTAATAGTGAAGTTTCCCAACTACAACACTTACCAAGTCATTCTCTACTAAGAAGGAAGAAAGATCTACCAGAACCCACGTTGGGATCATGAAGAACACAGCGTGGCACCCAAGGATGTTCAGCAACCGAAGATGATGTATTCGGGAATCTCGTAACACCTGACAAAAAAACCACTGTTGAGCCGCCTTTCTTCACCTACCGCCCGTGTTATCAGCAGAGATTCTGAGCCACGTGACAGTAACAGCTTTACTTGACAGATAAACTGTGAAAATAGGTAAATACTGTTCTAGTACAAATTTCCCACAAGGATGGCCAAAGAAAAACAGATGTCCACTGAAAAACAATGGTTTCTCCAACAGTGATTCTTAGTAGTAACAAGATAAACACATTTACTGAAAATACTCTACAAGTCAAAAATAATTTTGTAATTAAATAGATCGAAATCATACATTTAATTTTGTTTCTAAGGTTTCTGGGAGTGCCCAGTGTTGACATCAAGAAACAATGTGATACAGCAAGATACACTAAAACTCTTCAAGTGAACTGTTAAATTTCAGCACTATTGAACTATTCGTGGAAAAAAAAACTCCACGCCAAGAAGTTAAGAAAAGCCTCAAGATAAATTCTGAGTTCTGCCCAATTTTCTGTATAATGGCTTTGACAAGCAGGAAGAGCTGCAGAGAGCAGGCACATCAAGTAACCAACTTAAAAATAATATGCATTGTCAAGCTACAAGGATGATGCTGCCGACAGCCGGTGTGAAGAGCGGAACTGTTACCTTCTTTGAGAAGATGTTCTGGAGTGAAAAACACAGAGTAGCAGCGAGTGCACTGATGAGTCCCCACATGTCAAAGGAAAGTTCCGTGACAGTGGCCAACAAGACGCCCGTTATTATAGGGATCAGAGACAGGTACACCTGGAAGAGCAACAGAGAGGAGTGGCTTACGTCGTCTAAGAATTTTCATTTCAGTTGAGTTTATACTGATTTGGGGAGGAAAGGAGAAGGAAGAATAAAGCAACAGAACCGGGAGTCAACTTCTATACTACTGCAGTTGGAGGAAATTCAGCGACTACAATACAGACTGTAACAACTCCAGCGCATCAGCGAGCATCACCGTGCCCAACGCTTAAGACGCGGTTTTCTTTTCGTTCATGATAAAGGGGAAAAGAACTTGTAAAATTTATGTAATCTCACGTCAATCACAAAGTTTACCCAACTAACCAATATCTGAGCTTTCCTGATCCCAGCCAGCAGCGCCCATCCACAACCACCACCAAGAGAAGAAACCTCAGCAAACCTGTCCGCACCTTCGTCGTCTGCTTTTCCTTCATTATGATCCGCGAAAGAAGAACCACCCATATCGGCATCGTCGCTTTTACTGAGAACGGAAAGAAAACGTCGGTGGGGACGCAAAGCTTGGGCCAGCTCCGTTAACCGCCCTCAGCG